GAGCACAAATGCCAATAGACCTCGACACTCCAAAGAGAACAGTGTAATATCTGCCCACAATGAATTCAGTCAAGTCCGTATCTCTATTTTTTCTCTTCAGGTATAATAAAGAAAATAAAAAAGACGAGACTGTTAAGTAGCCGATAGAGGAGTTATTTTATTTTATTTTATTTTTTTACCTTGCTTCGGTTAAACCATAATGATTGAGCAACACTCCACTGTGGGCATCTACATTGGGCCAGGGGTTTTTGACCTACGAAAAATCAGATCCACATTACATTTGCTGAGGAGGGCATTTGCAAAATAACTAAAATCAATTTTGTGTCCCCTCTTTTATTGTTCCTAAGTTAAACTAATGATTCCTAGGAGTATATTATTCCTCATGGATGCATCGAGATTCGAGAACCTTCCCACCATAGACAGAAGTCACTCACCTTGCCTAGCTCCAACAGTATAGGGGGCACAACTTCGTAAAGATTCGAAACCTGCATGGAAATAACCAAAAACAATAGAAGTCAAAGTTACGCTCAATGAACAAGATCAAGAATAAAAGGCACAAACATATCATGGTTATTAAGTTTGATAAAAAGTGAGACCAGTTTAAACAATGGATCATCAGGCAAGTGCTTCAACGCGAATTCTCTCTGGCATGTGTATCTTGGATCTGTTTTGCGCAGCACACCGTGTCCAAACCCAGGAACAACCTACAGAAAAAAAGTTTTAAAAAATAAATTAAGATCAAATGATATTAAGTATTAGAGCTTGTGGCTATTTTTTCACCATTAGTCGTATTATGACCTCAACTAACCAGCAGTGACTAGTAACTGTAATTTCTGAGAGGCCATGAATGAAACATAAGTTTTTATTTATCAGTACTCGAGCACACAATAAAATCTTGGATTGTCTGAGATACTACCTTGCCACTGTTCAATGTCTTCCAGACATACTCTTTCAGATGTTCTTTGTCGACGTTCTCCCCACAATCTTCCACCACAGATTTAATCCATAGCAAGACTTCCTGTGATAACATGAAAAAAGTAGCCACAAATAAATAAGAAGATATTTATCTTCTGACACAACATAATGGATGGTAAGGGATTTTAACTAAGTTAATGCAAAATAGCAAAGGAAGCTTTTATCAGTAAAATAAATAAGGGAAGTAGTTAGGCAGAATATAAGTCACTCACTATTCAACTGAACAGGTAAATAACATGAAAACCTACAGCAAAACTATCATAATGTACACATTTTGTGAAGCTAATACTAGAAAATTTGGTGAGGATTAGAACAAGTGCATCAACACTAGCAATGACAATTGGCAAATGCATGCTCGGCTTGATCAATTAAGGAATTTATTCTGAAGGAACAAAACCACAGAAACAAGGCGCACCTGATTGGCCAATCCATGAAGTGGACCGGCTAAACCATTTAATGCTGCAGCAAACGAGAGATAGGGATCTGACAGTGCACTGGCAACCTGAGGAAGGACAAGAATAACCAATCGAATTGATTTATGCTAAAGAGAATCTAAATAGTTGTCCATTGCAAATGGAGCTGGAAGAGTCATTGTTGACAATTCTCCTGGCATAGTGCTAATAAAGGACTAGATCAAAATGGCTCAATTAAATTCTAGTGCTTCTTCTATTAGTGAAGTTTCTAGAAAAAAAATATATCAAACGGCGCAATGCACCTTGGGTCGCTATGGAAACAGCCTCCTTGTATAATTACAAGGGTAAGGTCTGCGTACAACTGACCCCCCAGACCGCAACCTGTTGGGAATATACTGGGTATGTTGTTGTTGTTGTAAAGAGAATCTAAATAGTCCAGGTATCAGAAACAATTATATCCAAAAGCCCATAAGTCTACTTTAACAAGATACAAGCAATAGCATTACTGGAGTCCCAGGCCTTTTAAGAGGAACAAGGAAAATGTCAAAGTCACTTACCAGATGACCAGTATGTGCACTAACATTTCCACCTTCATGATCACTGCAACAAAACAATATTGTCTTTTAAAAACATAAAGATTATTTGGGATTTTAATTTCATGAAATTGCAAACTGTTTTCACATATTTGATAGTTTTTTATAGCATAAATTATCAAAACATACCTGTGTATGGTAACATAAAGTCTCATGAGTTCCAGCATAGCAGGATTATCAAATCCTAACATGTGAGCGAAATTTCCACCATAATCGAGGGAGACATCTGTTGGTATGACTTCTCCATTCTTGTAAATCCTTCAATTTCAGCAATATGTCAACAGAAAAGATAAAATCACTACGTACGACAAAATGGTTATTGTTTTGAAAGAAACGAAAGATATAGGAAAAAAGGGATTCACTGTGCTAATCACAGTTATTATTCAAACAAAGTAAGATAAAATTAAGATAAAATCCATTAACGAACCTGCGGTAGACATAAGCAGCAACAATTGGAAGTTGAGCAATCAAACTAAGGGAATCCTCATATGTTGGTTCCCAATACCTACAAGGACAAATGCACAAACACTTGAATTAGTGATTAAAAAGAAAAGACAGAGATATTTTAATGAATTTTCTCGAAACTCACTTGGACTTGTGGATTCCTTTCTCATAAGCCTTCTGAAATTCACTTTGAACCTTTGGATGCATAAAATTATAAGTTCAGCAGAAATCATTCAGGAAACAAAAAGCAGTTGTGCTGAACGACTTGTTAATAATGAAAACAAGCAAGATAAAAGAATTAGGGAAGAAAATCTCGCAATAGGATTTGAAAGTTCCATGACAATCCTTTATATCTAGTAATAAATAGCTAGGTAGCAGGGAATCAACCGTGACAGTAGAGATGCCCAATCCAATTCCAGACTTTTTCATTATCAGCACCATACAGTGATAATTTAATTTGGATAGAACAATAAACAATTAATTTTCATCCATGGGTAGACACTTATCGAAATTTGGTTCGCATTTTGAGGGAAACACTTTACGCGCCACCGCATACCGCATAGCATGTATACAAATGCAACAATAAAGACAAACCAGGTCTTGGATACAAACGTCAAGCAATCTTAACGTCTTTTTTTTTTCCCAAATTTTTAAGCTTATAGGGGAAAGTGAGACAGGAGAGGACCCAAGACAAATTTAAAACACAAGGCTACTCCAACAGTACTTTTTGCTTCTTTCGTCCCCTATAGCTTTAAAAGTGGTGACCATATGAATTACTTCTAAATAATTGTTTTAAACCATGGCTGATGTATAGAAGTAGAAGCTTAAACAATGTGAAATAATGGAAAGAGATGAAGAATAAGTACCGATNAAGAAAAAAGAGGTGAAGAATAAGCACGAAGATTGGATAACATTAAGAATGAAAATATGTAACAGGATAAGGTGATGGGAAAGTGTGCATCAGACAGGGCCTATTCATGAGCATTCAGAATCATGATGAAAAGGTGGTGGTAACCTGAAGAGCCATTACGCCGGTTGCAAACTGTGTCATTGGATGAGCAGTAACAGGAAGCGCATCAATGGTTTTATATACATGATCTGCAATCGTAAATGTTAGATAATAAAATATTCCATAGAGGACGTAAAATAAGCCAAAAGATTCTTCTTGAACCTATAACATGGCAACAGATCCACACAGATTAAAAGTGAAACATAAATGTTGAGAAGAAAATAGAACCACTAAAAAAGCAAGAATGTATACCGAAAATAGCTCCACGAACCTTTTTGGAGTCTTTATATTGCAATTTGCAAAGCAAAGGTGAATGGTTGAAATTACTAGATAGTGAATTCCAATATTCCATTATCCTTTCTCAAAGTATAAGTATTCAGTAATAAGTTCGAGAGCTGACGAACCTGGGACAGTAGCACGACTTTGTAGTTCCTTCGATAAAGCATCTACTTGCTCTTTCGTTGGCACCTAGATGAAGTGAGGAAATAAATAAAGGTAGGTTAACGTAACTACTTAATCAATACAAGGGTTAAGGGTCCCAAAATAATTATTTATAAATTAAAGGGAAGAAAAAATGAAGAGGATGCTCAAGGAGACAGCAAGGAAACTACCTTTCCTGTTAAAAGAAGCCAGAGAAGACCCTCAGGCAATGGTTCTCCACCGGGCTTTGCAGCAGGTAACAATTTCTGACATTCAGGAATCGAAAGACCCCGAAAGCGAATTCCCTAAGTAAAAAAGTGTAATAATGCAAATCGGTAAGTAAATATAACATGAAGTTCCTTAAGAAACCTTAGAGGTTCTGCGTGAATATTATACCAAAAAATGGCACAATTAAATTACAACCTTAAGTGAGTTAATGGACATACCTCTTCTGGATCAAGCAATGAGGTCTCCCACAGTAATCCCGTCATACCTCTCATCCCACCAAGTACCTGTTGGAGGTATCACAACATATCAATAGTACCAAGGCCATTAGTTTCTCAAAATTTGACAGAAGAAAAGATAAACACAAGAAAATCCCTACCATGTCAAGAGTTATGTTCCCAAGCTGAACCTTTCCATGTTCTGACTTAAGCTTCTTTAGGCGCTCCTGCAACAAATAAATATGGAGTGCCCGGTTAACATCAATATAGCTAAGAACCGTTTCAGGCATCAACATTATGATCAGTCAATCAACTATATAGTAATTATTGAACATTCCCAAGCAAGCAGAAATGTTACATCTAGATATTTTTGCCTACTCGGAATAGAATCAGTAAATTATGTATTCTGTATCGTCAAAAACAATAACACAGGGCATCACCTGCTGCTCTGGTATCAATTCCTTCAGCTGAGAATGAAGGTCCTACAAAACAAGTCAACATTACAATAACATCAGCAAATTCATTAACAAAATTAAGTAATCTGCTGAAGACAAGCAAAAACCATGCAACAAAAGACGTAAGGATGACAAGTCTAGAATTCAGTAATTAAAATGTTTATCGGCATCGAACAAGGCCAATCTGCTTCAACCAGTATATCATTTGCAGCCCCTCAGTAAACCCCTACTCTCACCCCCATTCACACTCTAGCCCCTCCTTCCTCTGTTATAACTACACAAAAGATATTCAATAATATTCTTTTCACCTCCTTTACTTTTTTCCACTTACGCTTTGAATAATGCTTCCCACCACAATACAGATGAGATACACTCTAACAATATTTTTATACTTGTTTCACTAACAAAATACATTCCATAGCCAGAACTAGAAAGCCAAGTAAAGTTGCACGATAAATGAAATGACTCACTACACCAGACGAGGACTGGAGCCAGCGGACGGAATTGAAGAGGCCTGGTTGCTGAGCCTGTTGCATAACACAAGTCAACATCTAAATGAACAATCATACACAACAAATGGAACCAAAATCACATGATGACGCCAATTCGTCTTCACTTTTCTCCAGTCGACACAGACCACCACAAACAAAGGCAGAAAACAAAATTAACTGCAGACTGATTAAAATTTCACTCACAGAGCGCGACCGTAGTTTGGACAGCAAAGAAACGCTCCTCTGGAACACCATTGCTCACCGGCGAAAATTCTTCGAACTGCACCACATAATTAGCTCGAAACAATCAGTTCAAAAATAAGGAGTCATACAAATCAAACACAGACACATGAACGATTTTTCAGCAGATCAACAGAAAAAAAAAAAAACATAAAAAAATAGCTAAATCTATCAACCGAACACCACACGGATATGATTATTGCATAACCAAAACACACAAACGAAATTACTCTGATGACAAAACCTGATGCTTACAGCGAGGGAAGATCGTACGGACGGTGAATGAAATGCAAATCGCACGCACTGTGTGTGTAGATCAAATGATGAGTTGTTTGTTGAATACTTGAATTGTATATATCAATTTAAGAATTTTTGGGCTTTGCTCTTTTCTTTTGACTTCCAACAAAGTAGGCTGCTTGCGGCCGAAAAATGTTGCCCTTCCAACACTTGGCAATTACAAATATGAAAAAAAGTTGCATTTTTTTTTCTTTTTCATATTTCAATATTTTTTTATTTTTGTTTTATTTTTTATCTATTTCTCTCTTTATTGTAAAGGAGGAGGTGAGAAATTTTGGGAGTTTTGATAATCATGAGATGTAGAAGAGTTTCTCAAGCTTGAATATATGTTCCGAAATTCTATGTGATAAAATTTATATGTGTCAAATGGGTTTCAGTTATATAAATATATGCCAATTTCTGATGGTTTATAATTATATGTTCCAATTTCTGTTGTTTCAAAATAAATACAATCATATATTTTTTTAACAATATTAATTATTTTAACACTATAGGGACCCTCTTTTCTTCATCTGCACAACAAGAAAAACATAAAAGTCAAGACAAGAGGCCTTTGGTTTCTTAACATGGGACTAATCAGTTAATTTGGCTTACTAATCAATTAAATACCAAATACATCACACTCACACACACATTGCATTTTACCATATAGCACAAAAAATACAAAAAATAAAGAATTGGATAAAATGAAAATTCTTCAAAGTTCAAAGCCTATCAAACATGATACAATAACCATATGTAAGGGCAGATATACAAAACCAAGACTAGTCTAAGTAACCGGAAAATCCTCATCAAACATGTTACATGTATACATGTACACACACATTCTATTTCTATACATCGAACTAAGTTAAGATATCTCCAATCTTCATGACACATTTCTGAATTCAATCGACCTCGTGCAAGTGTGCAGATAACACGATTCTTTGATTCGAAGTAGCCATAGAGTCTAAGTTCGTTACATAAAATTAAAAGAACGCCCATTCATCTTTTTTGTATCTACACTACCCTAGTGAAAGATTTTATGTAATCATCCCATGTGAAGATATGATGACCAAAAGCTATGAATGAAGTGTTTATAAACGAAAAAAATTAACCCAAAGCACCTCAAGTCTAGAAAATCTTCTAGTTTTCAACTAGCACAAAGGCTACCGACCATACATGTCGATTTGCGAAGAACTTAATCGAACCAAAGGGAACTCATTTGAGTTGTGCAATCCACTTGCATCTCCAAGAAAACTACTAAAAATCGAGCTTCCAATATCACTACTACTATCTTCGACATCTGATTTTCGACTCTGATGATGATCGTTTTTCGTTTCTTTCTCGGATAACATATATCTTCTTCGTCTTCTTGTTGTTGTTTGTATTGGTTTCCGAAGGATTGTAACTCGTTAGCTTTTGGCGAGATCTCGAAAATTATTGATGTTCGTCTTTATGATTTCCGGCTCGACTACATGAATGATCTGAATCTTCGGTTTTTGCTTGGTAATCGCTCGCGATTCGTTCCGGATGAGTGGCTTCAGATGGGGTGAAATTGTCGTGTGATGTTCACGCGATTTCATTTTCTTTATTAATTAGTAATTTTTTCATTGAAGAATTGGTGGCGATTAATGTTGTGTTGGTGATCGAAAATTGTTGTTGGCATCTTATAGAGTTGAATCCTTAGTTGGCGCCAAGTTCTTTTTTATCAATTTGATGTTTTTTTTAATCTATATATATATAATAAGAATTAACATTTACCAAAAATAGTAGCAAAAAAATAGGTCAGAATTTAATGTAGTCTATAAATAGTAAGTTTTATTGTTTTTTTTATTTTTTTCCTTAAAATTCATACAGCATTAAATGTTATCTTAAATTCCGGGCTATAGTTCATTTTATTATTTAAAAAATCCTGCTAAGATTTATTAAGTGTGTATGTTTTTATTTTTATTTTTTTCTTAGAAACAACGAACAAAATTAAAATCTCGGTCTCTATATTTATAAAATTTCAATTCAAAATATAACAAAAGTTTTAAAATCCGGTCTTTATATTTGTGCCTTTAAAAAAAATTGAACGCTAAAAATATTCTTTAAATTGCATAATCAATCAATTAATCTTAATTTTTTGAAAATTACTATGTTTATTTTTTATTAATATGCATAAAGTAAAAATAATTAATTCATCTTAAGATATATAATTTATAATCTTAATATACTATCATTTGGTATATACATTTATTATATGAATCATAAAATATTTTTATTTCATAAAATTAAATATATTTAAATAAAATAAGAAAATTTCTTCGGATCAATCAGGTTATTGAATTAGGGTACTGCCCAGGTTGATTGAATTACTTTTAGGTGATATTTAAAATAGTAAAAAAACTTGACACAACTTGGTTGGTCCCAGGTGACTAAGTTATGAATCAGTTCGATCACACCAAATCGATTATTGAACCTAAATATAAATTTTATATTGAAAATATTTTATTCAAATAATCATATTAACAATACTTTTGTGACAACATGTTTAATGATTTATGAATATTTATATATCATTTTATTAATATTTATGTGAATAAAAAAATGTTTTAATATAATATTTATTAATATACATCAAATATAAGGTTCTCAGAACTGGACCGTCATCGAAACGATCAAGCTATTTTATTAAATCATTTGTGGTTTGTTCAGATTATAATTTATAAACATTTTAATATATATATAGTATTTATTGTAATAAATTTAAACAAAATGTGTTACTTAGATATTTAAAAAATTTATAAATTCAAATGTTTAAACTAATTGATAAATAATTTATAAATCTCTATTTTATTTAAATATGCAATTTTATTTAAAATAATTTTAAATATAATAAAATTTATTTAAAAAATCGTGTCGATCCTACAAATCCAACCAAGTGGTGTTGACGGATTCAAAAGCAAATATCTTATTCAAGTGAACTAGACTGGTTATAAATCGGTTCTCCGTCCATCCGGTCGGACTGTGTCCAACCCGGTTTAATGTAAAAACAATACATATATCATGATTAATGTTATTTATATATTTAATTTATAATACAATCTTAATATTATTTTCCCGTGCATTGCACGGGCCACGCACTAGTAATATAAACCATGGATATTTATATATACACTCTAAGCGTGTTAACTGTTACGTTACCTAATTGACAATCTTATAAGGATAATAATTTCAAATCTACTATTTATTAAAAGAACTTTGTTATCAAGATTCACGATGCTGATGTATGTTCATGTAGTCTACTTATTGAAAAATACACAAGAACCAAAAAAAAAATCGTCAACTTTTTGGCTCACTTCGTGAAACCGAGTCACCAACTGTTTGTTTCGTTTAACAACTCAGTTCGCAGCAGGTTTCATCAGGAAAAATAAAATAAAATAAAAATATTTTTATTAAATTTATTGAATTAATTGAACGAAAAAAAAAACGTCATAGCTTAATGTTTACTTGTCAACCGAGCTGTCATCCAACTAGGATAATTTTTTTTAATTAAAATTTTTTTCTAAATTGTTGACTTTATCATCAAATATTTCAGAACTTTTTTTTTTTCTTTTCATTTGTTGAATAAGTAAAAGAGTTTGTTGCTGGAACGAAATTCTGTAGTTGTTTACACGTTTCTTCTTCAAAATTTACCTAGTTGACATTAGTAGGATAGGAAAGGGGAGATGATTGCTTATTGCACAAAAATTAATGCAAAATTTCATTTTCTTAACATGATAGTTTTGTTCGGTTCTACATAAATGTTGACGTCATGGTGGTTATGTTGATGTCAGACTAGCTATAACTGATACATCATACATAGACATACTTAAAAAAACTATTGAATACTTATGCTATTAAATGGAATATTTGATTTAAGTTATATTTTAAAGTATGAAGTTTGATTATTATTATTATAGTATGTAAATTTCTTGGAATAGTATGGTTGGTTGAAATATTATGAGTGTCTAACAATTAGTCAGTCTAACACAAGACAAACCAATATATAATTAGTGTAACTTATAATTTGTTTTTCTGCAATATTATAATTGATTGTTAATGTATTATAGTCTATAGATAATGAAATGTTCAAATTAATGAAGTGAGACATTAAAATTTACAATATTCAGGAATCGGAATAGTAGTTGTAATCAACATTTCATCTTACAAAATATTTACCACAATTGTAATAATTTAATTTTGAATATATATGTTAAAAGTTGATGTCCATTACTAGGCTGCAACAATGTTGCTTACTTGCTAACATGTTGAAATTAAGTAATCATGCAAACATTCTTCTAAAAGGTGACATCACACTGGATTTGTCCAAGTACAAAACATTGCATGAAATTTGACAACTATTGTAGTTATATTAAAATTTTAAAAGTAACTTGTGAATACAACTTATTTTATTTACTGTACATATACTTCAAAACTTTTATTCTTTTTCCATATTATTGCTAGATTCTTCCTTGTGTTTGGATGGCAAGCAATTTGGCCAATTAGGGTGGTTATGGGCCAACAATGAGTTTGAAGGAAAATTTTGGTAAATCAATGCAGTGCATTTTTCAGATTTTTTCTTTTGGACTAACACACATTTATATGATTATATGTGTATGTTGATTTAATGGTAAAAATTAGGGCTGCAAATGAGTCAAGTTGAGTCGAGCATGGACCTTGTCGAGTATAGATTGTTTTTTTTTATTCACTGCTCGAGCTCGACGAGCCATGAAAATGACGCTCCAGCTCGACTTGTGAAATAAATTGAAATGCTCGAGATCTACTCGATGCTCCTATGACTCGAGTTTGACTCGAGTTTGGCCCAAATTTTAACAACTATAAATTATGCTCCTATGATAATTTTGTGAATTACATATATATAAAGGGTATTTCAATATTTTATCGCATATTATGAGTCGCTCAACAAGCGGCTCGACCTTGAAAAATTTGGGCTCGAGCTCGTAAGCCGCTCGACTCGTTTATAACCCAATATGGGATACCACACCGGGTAGAATAAACCCGATAAACCAGTTGGTCGGGCCAGACGAACCGGTTGGTCGAACAGAAACACAGGTAGGCCAAAGTCCTCAGGTCGAAGAGGACGTTGTAGGCTCAGCGGGACACCAACAGGTCGAGTCAGGGTCCTGGGATGGCCTAGTTAAAACTCAACCTGAAGGCGTAACTGGTCGACAGATCGACCAAATGTACAAGACACGCGAGCTCAGCCCACGCAGCATTCTCAAGGTGATTCGGATCAATCGCACCAATATTACACTGTCTAATAAGGCAGACTAAAGGATAAAAAAGAATTTTAGCATGATAAGGATCACACGTGAATAGAGCCACGTGGCCTAACAGGATTGGGCAGTTCGAGCAGTACGAAAGGACAGTCCAGGTAGTTCCCTTGGTCAGTCTTGAGCAACAATGTAACACTTCTCTATATAAAGGAATGATGTATGCCCACTAGAACATTACACTCCTTGCATATCTAGAGTACTCTACTACTGTTCATTATCTTCTCCACATTTTTGACTTAAGCATCGGACTACGCCGGAAATCTTTCCTGCATTGAGTTTGTGCAGGCATTGAAGGTCGTCAACCGGCGACGAATGTAGACCAGCTTGAATTCAACCGGTCAAAGACTTTTACATACCAATTGCACTGCATTCATGGATATATAGAATCGAACAAGACGGAGTTTGCTAGGTCGCACGAGAAATTGTCATTATATATATATATATATATATATATATATATATAATCTACAAAAATATTCCGATGAACTGAATATAAAATCAAAATTTTGTCAAATTTAACCTCTCAATCTTTCTAGAGTGGTCTTTGTAATTACATTAAGTTCAAATTAGTTAAAATCATCAATTTGACCTTTATAAGTACAAAACATTCCATTTTGGCTTTCCTCACAACTTCCACATATGTCACCTTACAAACTTTGAACACATATATTGATATTAATTAACAATTATAAACATTTTATTCTTAATTACGATTCCCAAGTTCCATACAAACTGTATTTTACATATATTATTATATCCAACCCAATCAAACCAAAACAAGGAAAAAAAATGAAAGAATATGTGAGCCAACAAAAAAAAGGAGCTTGGCCTTGTGTATGACATGAATCCACAAACCAACAATTCAATAATAAAAAAAAAAAAATAAAAAATAAAGGAAGAAAGAACCTATTAATTACTAAGATGATGAATAATAACACAAATCAACAACAATTAATTACATGAACCGGAGCTAAATCAATCATCGCTTGATCGGCTCAACATTTGCTCTGCCAGCCGGAGACCGCTCGCCGGCCGCCGGCACATCTGATAATACGGCGGCCCAGCGGCGGATACTCAGCGTCCGGGCAGTTTTGAAGCTGTGTGATCTCGGAATCTTGGCAAAAATGTTCGACGANGGTTTATGTGTTTTTATATGGGGAAAAATTGGAATATATGGGAAGATTCAAAGCGTGACGCTTTTGACTTTGGCTTATGGAAGACTGCATGTCGTGACAGCAATTACAAGCACGTGAAATAATTCGGGTAAAAAATGTGAAATTACATATTTAATACATTATATAAATTGAATAATTTTCATTGAATGTTTGTTTAAAAAAAAATATATATTAGTGAGTAGCTATTTAGATGTACACATATGTATTATGGGCTTTTTATATTGTTTAGGTGGGTTAGTTCTTAAGAATGATCTATATTTGTTGTTGGTGTATAATTTTTAAATTTAAATATGTATTGCTAATAATTATTCTTCCTGCATGTTAGAATTTAGGTGGTAGGCTTTACACGCTAATATTATTTGGCATAACTACATGTTTCGTGGTAGGCTTACACGCTAATATTTTCTGATCCCTAATTCACGATTTATTAATATTATTGATTAATTTTTCTATGGTTCATGTTATTTGTATATATAATTCATTTTTTAAATATTTATGAAATTATTTATTTGAAATTGTTATACTAGTTGAATATTAGTTACATAAACCCTATACTTGATTATATTATTATTGTGTCATTTTAAATTGATGTGTGTAATTGGCCGCGTTAGCGTATTTAGTTTGACTAATTAAACCAATTGTTTTTTGATCTTATGCAATTCGACGAGATTAGCTGTTTGTTTATTAGTGACCCGCAGATTATTCGTCTATTTGTGGATTAGATAATCATATGTTTGGTTTAAAGTCGGGAAGATAATATAATTCTGTTTTTATTTTCTCCCCAAAATGTAAATTAGTATAACAGTGTTTATAAATAGTCAACACATTTAATTCAGTAAAACATAAAATCAAGGCTAAACATGCAAATTAACTATTTTTGTTTCTTTTGTATATTTAATATTAATCTTTCAATTTTAGCAATAAAAGACTTAAGGCGTCGAACGATTACGTATTCTACTCGTTATGATATGAATTAATGTCATGAATGAAAAATTTAGAGCAAAATTACAATTGCGGCTGATATTTTACTTCACACATCTATATATACCTTCAAAATTCCATCGTTATTTATTATTCTTATTTGTTTACAAATTACAACCCAAATTCTATTCCGTGAAACCAAAAAAGCTTTTTATCCAGCGGAATATCATAAAAAGCTTCATTTATTCTCTTTTGTTTTTTTCAATAATGCAATTTGAAATGCAATAGAGAATAAGAATTTTCTATCCTGATAATGCATTATTTTTTCACTTTTTCAATGAAAAGGGCAATCAGGTCCACAGTATCCATACGTGTCCAGTTTGTCTTTGATTGATGGTTACCAAAAAATAAATAGATAAATAAAAAACTTGACCACGAAATTTCAATGCTAAAGGCCAAGAAATGGACGGAAAGTTATCTGAAGTGAATATTTTCTTTCTGTCATTCAAATTTGATAATGTGTGATGTTGATAAGTTAGTCTCGGGATGATCTATCACAATATTACTAAAGTTTAACCAAATTGTTGATTTTTTTTCAAGGTATAGATTTCACTATTTAGTATACGAATTATTTTTTTAATATAAAATTATGAAATAAAAGTGAATGCAATGTTTATAATTACAAATATGATGTTTGTATACATGATTCGCGTTGGACTGTTAGAATGTTGTTGAGTTATCGAAAATACACGTAGGTAAACTGGTAAAATAGATTAATCTTATCCCTATACTGCTACAAAAATCAGCAATCCAACTTTTATCACTCAAATTACAATAATACCAAAATTACAACATAAACTTTGCTACGCATTATAATATTATCAAAATTAATGATTCAAATTTTGCCAACATAATTCCATCAAGGCACAATCTAATAAATTTTAAATACCGAACGAAACCTAATAAATTAGAGGTTGGCCAATCATAATAAAGGCTAATAAAGCATTATTTAGCCTGAAACTTTTCTAAAATTTCATACTTGGTTGATGTTTAAAGTTACAAACTAAAGGCTAATTAAGCTTTACCAAAATTTTAAATAAATTAATGCATCAGCATCATGAGAACGACATACCTTGATTGTGTCCATATATAAATGGGTATTACTATTGAGTATTGACTAGAAATTAGTTTCGTGGCTATAAGTTAAATGTTGTGTCTATAAACATGCATTTATTTGTTTATCTGTAGGGATGATCACATTATGTACATATGAGTTGCAAACTAAAATTGTAAATCACTTAAAAGGTCTTCAAATTCTTAAAACTTGCAAATTCTTGAGAGGCATCAAGGCACGCGCGCTCACAATATGTACAATAAATCATAAGCTTCCAAACCCTAATTAACTGATTAAAAGAAAAAAAATTATTTCTTGATCATCATGTTGGCCATTTTTGATTTATTCTCATCATAAGAAGAAAAAAATATGGCACGATTGAAATTGGCCTTGTTGTGAACGGTTTTGCTCATTACTCCCCTGCATGACTTCATATGTGCATGCATTTTTTCCGGCTTGAAAATCTTCCCACATTGCCTGCCACCAAAAAAAAATTCCGGCTCGAAATCGATCAAAAGTCATAAATTCTACAAAAAATCCCAAAAAAAAAAAAGTCGACTCACGCGCAATTTGGCCCGTTGAGTGGCTTATAAGTCGGCATTTCCTTCGCTCGTTCGTAGATCTTTCTTCTATCGTCGCATAGCCAAAAAAAATCGACCGCGAAATATTCAAATCATGTCACGAATCACGATCAATCGAAAAAAGAATCGATTTTTACGTGTTACTACTAATCCGATGTTGGGTCCCACGAGGCTTCTCAGTTATCGTCCGGTGGTAAGAATGGCACACGGGACGTACATTTTCACACGTTTGGCCCGAACAAATGCTCAAGAAAGGCGGTCTATTCGGCTTACCACGGGCAATCATCACGGACGATTCCTTAGTCTCCGTGCCACGACAGCTGAGTAGGCTCCGTAGGCTCATCGAGAAACGGGTCATGCCCTTTTCGTCGATTTTTTTAGCGGTAGTGATGAATTTATTCGGAGGGTTTGCTTCCGATTGATCATTTGTCGTGTTCGAAATATTTTTTTCCCGCTCGAGTTTCGTTTCGAGATGATCAGTTGAGGGCTTTTGCTCTGTTTTCTCCTTGGTAATTTCTTGGTGTAATAAGTCTATATAAATTTTTGAAATGTGAGAATTATATTTTTTTGATCATGTATATATAATAAAATGAAATTTTGGTAAACTTGATATTTTTTTTTTTTTTTTGGAAATTTAATTTAATTTCACCTGTTGTGTTAGTTACTGTGCATGGAATTTCTGAGCCTTGGAGAACATATTCATTGTCTGAGATTGGGGTGATAAGATCATCATCCAACAAGTCTTGCCAGACATAACCTGTCTTGTACCTCCTGCACAAAATTATGTACCTTTTACTTATATGAAAAGAGAACATTAAAATCATAGACTATTGTATATCATTATTAATTCCATCATGTGATACACTAATTAAGTGACAATATACATATGGAAAACATGCAAAAAATGTAATCTTTATTCCTTAAAGCAAATTTTATATATTACATATATATGTATATATGCTTATTACCTCTTGTATGACCAAGCAAATGATTTTGGCATATCCTTTCCTCTCAATTCTCCCAACCATCTTTTGATGTCTAAGAACACACAATTCACAAATTCGCACGTGTCAAATTAACGTATACTTACACGCGCGCGCAAAGATACGTATCAAATATACATACGATAGTCGCTATATATATATATATATGCACATTAATTAACCTCGTAATTGAACGCCATTTTTAGAGAGATGCTCGACTCGTATGAGATGAGGATGCTCTTCATAACCCTTTCGACTGAGAAAGTAGACAATGTGGAGTACTCGACTTGCTTCTGCAACGTTTTGTGCCTCCATTAATCGTCTGAGTATAACAATTATAGAAAAAATGTTCAAATGCTATAGGAAGAATTTAAGTAAATTTATGGATTGTATAATGGATATATATATATATATATATGGTACATATATAATATGCATTATGTGGGGTATGATTAAGATTGTGGCAGTAACAATATGGACTATAAAAAAGGGGGAAAACTTGGTCTTCATTCTGATTTCAGGCGATACTTAATCTGTATTGTTATTTGTTTTGGCAGCTAAGCTTTTGACCCTGTAAAATGGCACCAAAATTGCTAGTTTAACCAAATTGGAACTTGTAAAAATCATGGTATTTGTATGGAAGTATAACTTATAGTTACTATATATGTGACAAAATATATATAATTGCCTTAATTAATTATTAGCTCCCTCTAACAAATTGTTTCCCTCGGAAGTTTCGATATAGCTAGGCACGAATTTCCCGTGTCACTCACCTCCGAACCGTGCTTTGTTGGTGTAATCGGAAACTTCTGTCTCCAATCGATACTTTTAGACGACAAAATTGCAAATCAAAGCTCGTATAAAATGATCAAATAAATAAAATTAATAATTAAACAAAGACTCTGAAAACAAAATAATAATATGGCTATAAAGTTAGAACTTCTTACAAATGTATTTATGTCTCTGTACTGATCCATCAAGAACCTCTTTCTCTGCTGCAGAACGAAGGTTTTATATATATATATATATATAACATAAATGAAACTTATATATGTATATTCAAGTTGTTTACAAGTTTGGTTTAAGGATAGTTGCATGCATTATCTAACCTCAACCATAGTTTTGGCTTTATATACATACTCTCCCCGGTTTTGGTTGCATAATACGAGAAAAATAAGATAAAATAAAAGACTAGAAAATTAGTGCTCGAACATTCATTAAGATGTGCAATAACTGAGACAAGCATAAACAATAAGAGGTTGTTGTTAGACATGTCTAACGGTAAGTCACTCACACTTTTTCAACAAACACGTGTACTTTCAAATCAAAATTTCATACTTAAAAAAACAACATAAACAAAAGTTTAACATTTCATCGCATAAATAATTTATCTTTTGTTGAAAAAATATGACGAGTCGACCCGCCTAACGATTAGCCAGCTCACAAGAATTTGTGATAAATAATTGGAGAAATAAACTCAATCAAGTAGAGGAGAAGGTGATGATCCATTATTTGAGCAGATACGCAAATCCATTATAGTAATTGATTTAGTGTATATGAGGTTGATTTAGTAAGTAATGAGGTTCTCATTAGTATTAGTTAGGTAGATGTTTGGTATAATGATGATCAGTATTTTCTGTGGGGCCACTAATATATTGTTCTAAAACATGAAAGGGTGAGTAAAGATTGTCGAAACAAATAGTTAATTAACATGATTTGTTGTTTCCAATTACCATTTTGATTTCCCAAAAGAAAATTGTTACTTTGACATAATATGTGGTGTGAGGGTTGGTATAAAATGGTGTGTGGGTGTATGTATTACTGAATTTTAAGATGATTGATACAAACTCGTATCAAGATTTGCGTTACTTCGAGCAAATGCGAAGTCTTTGATTTAAAACTATTTTTCTTATATATTTCTCATACTCCAAAATAACAAGGTAGCAACGATATTTATATTTAACCCTCAGAATATCTAAATTTAGTAGAACTCACACCTATAAAAATAATGTAATACTATCAAGGGAATAAATAAATAAGTAACATGCCTAAAGGAAGATATAACTAGTATTCGACCTTGTGTATTTGCACAGATGTAAATAAATATTATAAGTTATATTTATATATATGATACTAAAATTATAAGTTTGATAATATTATTATATTTTAGAACTTGATCATTGGTTAAAATAAATAGTGTATACATAACGATTTGATTGCATACGAATCACTATATTGATTGCATAAAATGTAATAAATAATGTAATTTTTGTAATTTTGAGGGATCATGTCTAATTAATTAGCTGAAAAATATAAATTTATTATAACATTTGTTTATGCGATTTTAAGAAATTTACTATGACATTTAAAAAATTAAATTATTTAAAAAACAATCGCAGATAAAAAAATATAATATTAATTTTAGAATAAATAATTTGAACAAAAAGTTGTTGCAATATAACCTTTTATGTTTGGAAAAGTTGAACAAAAAGTTGTAGCAATATAAAACAAATACACAGGAATAAATTTTGAAATAGTACATGTCATCATATCTATATGTTAATAAAAAAAATTGAAAAAGAGCAATCAGGCATAACATATAAAAAAATAGTAACCATCCATGGAATTATAATGCTAAATTCAGTTTGATATTCACAGTAATTACAAAAACTGAACTATACTAAAAATAACAATTTCAACTCACATTTTATACAACTGGTCAAAATAGCATTATATCTTATATTATTGTATTCTAACCGTTTTTTTATTAAAATGATTGATATTAGCATGTCCATTAAATGATTGTGTTACTATTGATTGACATAAACTGATCCTATAATTTTTTGTTCTAATTTATGTTAAATGGATTACACTACTCTCAAAAAATATCGATATTGTTTTGTTCTAATTTATGTTAAATGGATTATACTACTCTCAAAAAATAATTTCGATATTGTTGGTCAAATTCCAATTATGTTTGTTCACCAACATTAAAAACTTACTATTTCTTTTATAATTAAAATAATTAAGTAAATATATTTGTTGGAAATAAGTTAATCAAATTCAATAATCAAGAATCTGAAATTATTAGAAAAATAGACAAATTGTAAGTCAAGTGAATTATAATTCAAAATCCAATTAAGTTTTTCTCACCAACCATAAAAACTTAAATTCTTAAGAATATTACTTTCATTCAACATAATAAAACCTATATTGTAATAAATAACTAAATAAATAAAATTGACTTTCATCCCACATTGTTTAGTTTTTTCAAAGTTCAAAACGATTTATAATAAAAAGAACCTTAATTTCAGCATATTCAATTAATAACATCAATATGAATAAGTGTTATATTAAACAGATTGGATAAAGGATGAAATAATAATTTTTGGTAACTGATTTAGGTAGGAAAAACTTAGAGGTTTTATTAAATTGGATAAAGGATGAAATAATAATTTTTGGTAACTGATTTAGGTAGGAAAAACTTAGAGGTTTTATTAAATAGGTTTTCTTAATTGCTCATTAGCCAGTAATTATATATATATATATATATAGATATAGATTAATGATTTTTCTTGCACTTGTTTGCAGGCGAAATTTACAATTAAAGTATTGTGAGTTATTTGTATGCATATAATGATTAATGATTTTTCTTGCACTTTTTTGCAGGCCAAATTTACAATTAAAGTATTGTGAGTTATTTGTATGTATATAATGATTAATGATTTTTCTTGCACTTTTTTGTAGGCCAAATTTACAATTAAAGGAGCTGGAATATTTATTTTCTTAAATTGCGTTTATCATATTGGATGTAATATATATTTTGGTATGTATTTTTTTTGTTAATTATTTATTATTTATTTAGGAATTTCAAATACGTTTTTATTTTCCAAAAGAAGTTAATTCAAATGTAACTACAACAATAACATCTAATCACGTTAAATAGTCAACACATTATATGGTCAGTTGTAAGTAAATCAAAAGTTTAAATAATTTTTGTAATTTTGAAGTGATTACTTTGTTGATTATCTAATAATTAAATAAGATATTAAATAAATAAAAAAGTAACAATTTTTAAAAGGAAAAAGTTATATTGCCACATATGTATACTTTAATAAGTTTTATTACATGCTCAAGAGCCAGCAATTATATATATATAGATTCGAGCCACTTCAAGACTTCATCATATAATAATCACGTAGCTCTTATAGTTTCAAATTAAGAATGACAATCAAGAAAAGAGTCAATAGCAGTATAGNCCAAAAAAAAAAAAAAACATAATGTACCCTTGAGACGAAAATTTTTAAAGAGGAATGTAATGAAAATTTCAACACTACAAATGCCAAAAGATGAAGAAACATATATGGATAATTAACAGACCTCAGCTCTCTTTTCCCTCTCTTAGCTATGATCATCATGTTCTTCTTCTTCTTCATCCATAGTAAGGTGAAACTAGGCTTTCCACATAGGCCGACCCATCAACTATCGAGCCCACAACAAACTGTTGGGCCAAAGGGTAGCTCAAATCATGAATCTCCAAACTCTGCCCGTAATTCACCAATATCTTCTTACCATCAAACGACGTGAAAAGGGCACGACTCGAAAAACATTCAGGATCCGGAAGCTCCTCAAAATACGGTATTCGAACCACTCGAGTCCATAATTCCCTCTTCTTCACCCACAAATCCATGCCCGTGTTTCGCTTGCAATACACAGCAAGGCAGCCGCTTAAAATGCCTACATCTAATATCATGGCTTCATTATCTTGATCAAGATTCACCGGGAGAGGTTCAGATTGAAGAAATGTATCTGTGGCGAGATCAAACGACAGAATGACCCATTTACCCCTACTCAGCAAATCTAATCCTTCTAACCCTTTCACCGGCCAATGGATCGACCCGTTTAGAAAAACGCCCGCCCGGAAATAACCGTATTTACCCTCCCAATCCAACAACTTCCTCCAAGAATTGGCCCTCGTGCCGTAAATCTTAAATCGAGTCTCGTACCCGAATGCCTCATTCGTGAAGATCACGAGCTCGAGCACCTTATAATCGTCGTGCGCCTCGTCATAACCGAAAGAATACGAAAGGCCATAAAACTCAGGTTTGTAATAGAAACTACACGAGCCGGAGTCAGGTAGTATGCGAGACACTCTAGTGGCCGGATTCACTAAGGCAACAGTGTTTTGGTCCAAAGACAAACAGACCAAACCGTCACAAGACCCCACGAAGTTTACCTCCGTAGTGTTTGATAGAACAGGAAGAGAATAAAAAGTTATTAACGAATGGATATGATCGGTCAAGGGATTCACAATCAGATCACCCTCAATCAAGGAGTTGATTGAACAAGTGTACAAGTTCAGATGGGTTCTACCTCGAGAGCTGTACATGAGCTTTTCTTCCCGGTTCATTCTGAGGTGGGCCTTTACAAAATAGGGGCTAGATATTAACGAATGCCAATCTTTCGAGATGGATTTGAAACAGAGGAGGGACTTGACCGGCAATCTCAAGAGGATATCTGTGGTGATTTGTAGGGGCAGTTCACAGCAAATGATAAATACGTGTTCGTCAAGTCTGGGAGAAACTAGACTCTCGGTATAGGTTATGGCCTCGACCGAGATGGAATTTACAGAACTGTTAATGTGATGCCAATGTGGCTCGTTTAAATCGTATACGCCCAAATTAGCCCCACTGTTAATTAAAGCCTTACGGTCCGCCGCTGAGAAAAACAACAGGCGGGGCCTGAAGAATTTGCGTCGATTCATATCAAGAAAAGGGATGCTGACCAATTTAGTCCATGATTCTCTCACACCGTACTCTTTCATCACCCAAACATCCACGCAAAACTTATGCTCGCAATGCAAAGCAAGAAAACCATTTAAGACTTTAACCCTGACCTTGACATCATTACTGTCAAGATTCGGTGAAGGGAACTCGACCAAAGTATCGGTAGTAAGATCATGAGAAACAATAACCCACACATCCGATTCAAGCCTGTTGGTGTCCATCA